AATACTCAGGAGGGGGCCAGCCATGGGGACAGAAAGAAGGTGCAGGAGACGGCTCGGAAGCCTCACATATTTCTTTCCGCTGACTTGCTGCGCGCCTCTCCCTCGCCAGCCTGGTACGACATTGTTATTTAAGGGACAATGTTGCCGTGGAGGAGTGTGTACCCAGCAATAAACAGCTTTTGCAGGCAATTAAATGCAGCAGTGAAATGGAGCTGCTGGTCAGTGGAACCAGCCATCCATCCTGCATTTCTTTCACTGTCACAAATGTTATTCCTGTTTCACAAGGGGACAGGGATCTGTGATTGGGCCACAAATCTCCACCGCCTAGAGGAAGCGCGAAGGCAAGGAAAGCAGCTCTCCGCTAACACAGGATCACTTGAGCCTCTGGGGTGCTGACTCGGCAGGCAGCTCTTTTCTCAACAGGTTTGCATTTAGTTAAAAAAAAGTCTGCATTTAGTGAAGAAAAAAAAAAAAAAAAACAGAACAGTTGCCAACTCCTGGCGACTCCACGTGTGTCATAGTAGAACTGTGCTCCACAGGGTTTTCAATGGCTGATTTTTTAGATGTGACTGCCAGGTCTTTCTTCCGAGTTGTCTCTGGGTAGACTGGAAACACTACCCTTTCAGTGAGCACCGAGCGTGCTAAGCATCCGCACTACCCAGGGACGCCCTGCACTTAGTAAACCCATTGCTGTCGAGTCAGCTCCGACTCACAGTGACCGTACAGGACAGAACAGAACTGCCCTGGAGGGTTTTCTTGGCTGTAACCTTTATGGGAGCAAATCACCAAGTCTTTTCTCCCGAGAAGCCGCTGATGAGTCTGAACTGCCAACCTTTCGGTTAGCAGCCGAGCACTTAACCATTGTGACACCAAAACCCAAAAAACCCATGGCCATCCAGTCGATTCTGACTCATAGCAACCCTACAGGAGTAGAACTGCCCCACAGGGTTTCCTAGGCTGTAATCTTTACAGAAGCAGAACACCAGGCCTTTCTTCTGTGGTGCCACTAGGTGGCTTCAAACTGACCTTTCTGGTAGCAGCAAACTGCTTAGCCATTTTGCCACCAGGGCTCTTTTTGCACTTAAATAGGCACTCACTTGGGTCGCTATGAGTCGGAATCGACTCGATGGCAACGGGTTTGTGTACCAAAACCAGACCCGTTGCCGTTGAGTTGATTCTGACTCATACCAACCCTACAGGACAGAGTAGAACTGTCCCATAAGGTTTCCAAGGAGCAGCTGATGGACTGGAATCGCCGACCTTTTGGTTAGCAGCCATAGCTCTTAACCACTGTGACACCTGAGCTCCAGAGCTTTTGATATTTGGGGTAAAATGAAGCATTTTGCTCTATCAGGGAAGGAGTGTTTCTGTGGAGCTGTTCTGCCTCCTCTGTCTAAACCCTTCCCACCCCATTAGCCCACCAGGAGCAGACTGAGGGCACCGAACGAGGCTGGACACCACAGAGTGGGGATGTTGTACCTGCTGAAAGGTCAGAGTCAGCACCTCCAGCCCCCTTCTAACCAGAAGCTACTCGGACTCTGTGAGAACCAGCCCCGTCTGGGAGGCATAGACTACTGTGCTCAGGTTTTCTCAAGTGGGATTTTCAAAAAAATTTTTATTTGTTGTTGTTGAGAATATATCAAAAGTGGGTGGTTTCTTTTTGCAAACAATTCCATCCCCTCCCCTCCTGATCTCTACGAAGTCTAGCTCAAACAAATTACGATGATGCCAGTAGAGTCAGCTTTTTCTAGGAATTAGAAAGGAGCTCTTTGTTGGAAACCATTCACACTGCTCCCCAGCACAGGGACACTCAGAGCCGCAAACCCGACGAGGGAGGAGGGTGACCCAAGACGAGGCCTCGGTCTGGTGAAGCGGCAGCAGGAGAGTCGGGCTGAGCGGCAGAGAGTCAAGGGCATGGCTGGGGGTTCAGCCTAAGGTACAGGCTCCTCAGGATGAGCCCGGGTCAGACAGAAGGTAACACCATCGGGAGACAGCAGCACGGTGCTCCCCAAGAACAGCTGTGGGACACCTCCCTAAATCGAAACAGATAAGCATGCCAACAACCAATCGAGGGACAACAGCCCTGCCCTCCTCTGGCAACCTTGCCTCCTCCCCCAGGAGAGGCGAGGCATTGTCCAAAGGGCAGACTCAGGGCATCTTCCCGCAACAGCAAGGCCAGGAGGAACGTCCCGTTACAGATTCCCACATCCTCTGGAATCCTTCCTACCTCTGTGATAACAATGATCCTGGGTGAAAAGGGAGTCAACGCAGCTCCTAAGCTGGGCATTCTTTATCGCTTAAATATAAGAACTATTTCTATCAGTAACCAGTTGCCATCGAGCTGATTCCTACCCACGGGGACCCTATGTGTGTCAGAGTAGAAATGTGCACCATAGGGTTTTCAATGGCTGATTTTTCAGAAGTAGATCGCCAGGCCTTTCTTCTGAGGCGCCTCTAGGTGGACTCGAACCTCCAACCATTCGGTTAGCAGTGAAGTGCATGAACCGTTTGTGCCTCTTGAGAAAATAGGAGGGCTTGTTATTTTAGGAGCTTTCTGACTCTGCTAAAAGCTGATCTTGAGCTGATTACCTCTCTAGCTTTCTCTCGTGTTCACACACCCTCCCCGCTTCCTACTTTCTCCTCAAAGCTGGGGAGCAGCCAGAAACCCTGGACGCTCCACTGAGGATCTGCGGGAGAAGCTGCCTCTTTTAGGCCTGCAACAGAAATCAACGTCAAAACTGTCCCAAATCATCAATGCCAAATGGCTGTTTGAAAGGTCTGAAGGGGCCCAGCTGATCCGAAGTCATTTCATTTCCAAGTTAACTCTCCGTTCAAATACCAACAGACTTTAAGTGCCTCCCAGAAAAAGAAAAAAACAGTCTAAATAGAAAACTTATGAAAATGTGTGCTGTAGTTGGGTGCCATAGAGTTGATCCTGGCTCACAGCGACCCCGTATGACAGAGGAGAACTGCCCCATAGAGTTTCCTAGGCTGTAACCTTTACAGAGCAGACAGCCAGAACTTTCTCCTGTAGAAGTCACTGGGTGGGTTTGAACCACCAACCTTCCGGTTAACAGCCGAGTACTTAGCCACTGCGCCACTAGGGCTCCTTTTTTTAAAACCTCTTGATTCTAACATCAACAGGTTTTAAGCTCCTTCCAAAAACAAGATATGATTCTAAACATAAAGCATGTAGAAAACTTACAAAGACTTGCAGCTTAGAGGATTAAAGCCGACATTTTAACCAACCTCAGAGATCAGATTCCTTGAGGGTAGCAAGAGAATCCAAAAAGTGGAGTGACTTGAGTATTAACAACTTCCCCACACCTAAAACAGGCAGAGGCAAAACGGAAGGGAGTTGCTTAAAGGAAAATTTCAGCTCACAATTTTTAACATGGGCGTAAGAAGGCCTAAAGGCTTGCCCTAAACTCCCAAATAAACACGTCACATTTTTCTGGAATCAAATCCCAACTGAGGAGGAAATGGAATGTGTGGCTAACTGCCCCCATGAACAACTGCCTCTGTTGTCGTGAGACCAGAAGAACTAGATAGTGCCCAGCTACCGCTACCGAACATTTTAATCAAAGATTCTTTACAAGAATCTTTGATCAAAAACAGGAATTTCAAATTCTCACAGAACCCAGACTTTCTGGAGCCACTGAGGCTGGATGAACCCCTGAAACTACTGCCCTGAGATAATCTTTAAACCCAAAGTAAAAATAACCCCTGAAGTTTTCTTTAAACCAAACAGCAGTTTAGCTTAATCAGTAAAGAATGTCTACCTTGAGCACTGTGTTCTTTTAAAGAACTATCTATAGGGGATCGAACTGACAATAGCAACTTGAAAGATTAGATGGGAACCTTAGGGAGCAGTGAGTTAATGGGGGAGGACCAATTTGGAAAAGGAGGGTGAGAATAGTTACACAACTCAAAAAATGTAATCAGTGTCACTGAATCATACATGTAGAAATTGTTGAATTGGTATGTTATGATACGTCTATTCTCAACAACAACAAAAAACAAAATACATTAAAAAAAATCCCACTTGAGAAAACTCCAGCACAGTCCGTGCCTCCAAGACGGGGCTGGTTCTCAGAGTCCGAATACCTTCTGGTTGGAAGGGGGCTGGAGGTGCTGACTCTGACCTTTCAGTAGGTACAACATCCCCACTCTGTGGTGTCCAGCCTCGTTCGGTGCCCTCAATCTGCTCCTGGTGGGCTGATGGGATGGGAAGGGTTTAGACAGAGGAGGCAGAAAAGCTCCACAGAAACACTCCTTCCCTGACAGAGCAAAATGCTTCATTTTACCCCAAATATCAAAAGCTCTGGAGCCCAGGTGTTGCAGTGGTTAAGAGCTATGGCTGCTAACCCAAAGGTAGGCAGTTCAAGTTCACCAGCCGGTCCTTGGAAACCTATGAGGCAGTTCTACTCTGTCCTATAGGGTCGCTATGAGTTGGAATTGACTGGGCGGCAATGGGAATCCAAAGCTGGATTGCATGCTATTTTACAAGCACACTGAGCGTGTGAAGATGGGCCTCCACTCCTAGCCCAGATGCATCCATGTTGGCCCAGCGGGAGAGTGGCCTCTCCCCTCTCCTGACCTTTCGCGGGTGCAGGCACCGAGCACAACGCTCTCCTCCCAGGGTGCGAACTCGCCTCCAAGCGCCCGGCATTTTACAAGCCTCTCCAAGAAAGTGGGGGACAAGGCTGGAGGAGGCCTCAGACGGTCAGCTCCTTGTGCATGTGACTCTGGCCACCCGGATACTTGATGCAAAATGACACTGAAAATGAGGGAAGTAAATGGAGGGGTGGGGAATCACACAACTGTATGCGTGTCTCTACGATTTCTTGCCATCAACCACCAGGGTTAAACCGCATTATCAAGAGTGAAAAATTCTTCTCGTCTTTTGCATAATGTGCGCCTATGTGTGACAGTGTGCGTGTGTGTGTGCGTGTGCGTGTGGTTTCTGAATATCCAGTCCACACAGAGTAACATCGTACCTGCCACTGGTTTCCTGTCTGGCCAGGCACGTAAGGTGCCGGCAGGCTCCTCAGGCTGTTCTTCACAGGGGACCCCCCGAGAGGGCTGCCCACGTCCCCAGACGAGGCGTCGGCCGCCAGTGCCATGGAGTACTGCGGGTAGTTGTAGAGGTTGTTGTAGTACGGGAACAGCGACGGCTGGTAGAAGCTGCTGTAGTAGGTGGAGTCAGAGACCAGGTCGGGCGTGTTCTCCACGTGCCCTCTGCTGGTGGCTGCGGGGATATCCTGGATGACCATCCGTCCCTCTGAAACAGAGAAGAAAAGACAACATGACCTGAGTGCCAGGGCCACAAGGCTTTCCCTCTAAGCCTGGGCAGAGCAAGGTATCTGAATACACAGGTGACAAAACCTTCTGGAACTTCTCCTGCAGCCAGCATAAAGGAGGGGTTCTCAGGCTGGCGCACCTCGGGGGGGCACAGCTGAGGGATGTTGACTGATTGTTTCTCCCGGGAAACCGAAGACATTTAGAGGTCATTTTAATTACATAAAGCCAGACTGTCTCATTTCTATCCAGAAATTCCCATCCTAAACTGCAGATCACGTCTAGCTAACCTGGCTGTCTGCAACATTCTTACAACAAAATTCATTGTATTTCACTTTAAATGAAGTAAATAAATATGCTGGTTCCCTAACTCTCCTGGCCAGACAGACACAGGTCAGAAAGTCAAAGCAAGAGGTTAAGAGTTTAAGCAAACACTGTTTCCTTCACTTCCTTCTCCTGCTGATACTGTAGCCTGCAGTAATCTGGACAATGGTATAGACCAGGTACAGGCAAACTGCTTCTGTAAAAGGCCAGATGTCTGTGGGCCATGAGATGTCTGTGACTGTGTTCCAATAAAACTTTATTTACACATGCAGGCAGGCAGTGGGCCAATTTAGTGCTCTGGCTGTTATGTTGCCAAATCCTGGTCTTGACTTTAAACTGAGCAAATCCCAGTAAACCACTGAATTAACTCCTAAGTCATCCATCCATCCATTACCCACTGGACTTTTTTTTTAACTTTCAAAAAAAAATTTTTTTTTTGTGCTTTGGGTGAAGGTTTACAGAGCAAATTAGCTTCTCATTAAACAATACACATATTGTTTCCTGACACTGGTTGCCAACCCCGCGACATGTCAGCACTCTCTCCTTCTTGACCTTGGGTTCCCCATTTCCATTTGTCCAGCTTTCCTGTCCCCTCCTGCCTTCTTGTCCTTGCCCCTGAGCTGGTGTGCCTATTAATCTCGTATACATGGTTGAACTACATGTGTTATTGTTTTATATGCCTGTCTAAACTTCGGCTAAAGGGTGAACCTCAGGAGTGACTTCATTACTGAACTAAAAGGGTGTCCGGGGGCCACAGTTTGAGGTTTCATCAGTCTCTGTCAGGCCAGTAAGTCTGGTCTCTTTTTTTTTTTGTGACTTAAAATTCTGTTCTACAGTTTTCTCCAGCTCTGTCCGGGACCCTCTGTTGTGATCCCTGTTAGAGCCGTCAGTGGTGGCAGCCGGGCGACACAGCTGTGTTGGACTCAGTCTGGTGGAGGCCGCGGTAGTTGTGGTGAGTTAGCCCTTTGGATATTTCTTAAATCATGTTCCCAGTGCTGCTCTAGGTGCCTGAAGTGGCTGCAAGGCGTGAGACCGTCCCTGCCCTTAGGGAGGTTACAGTCCAGGACGCCAGTAACCAGTTGCCATGGAGTCAACCCCAGCTCAGGGGAACCCCATGTGTGTCGGCATAAAATGGCCGATTTTTAAGAAGAAGATTGCCAGGCCTTTCTTCCAAGTGCTTCTGGGTGGACTTCAACCACCAACCTTTTGGTTAGCAGCTGAGCGGGTTACCCGTCTGCACCACCCAGGGCCTCCCTATCCACCTCGGGCTCCTGGAAATGATTGCAGAACCACCAACTTATGTTTCTTGCCTTTCTTCTCTCCTCCTTTCCAGCCAATGAGATGAGAAATCCCGATTTCACTACTCCAGGCCCTCAAGGCTCCGTGTCTGAAGAGGGCAGAGCACATTCTCTCCCCCTGAACTTCCCCTTGGATCCTCTCCTATTTTAAACACCAAACTGGTGGTGTACTTGGCTATTTTCAGTACCAGATTCTGTTTTGTATCAGATTGTTTACCTGATTATAAAAGCAATAATGCAAACATCTCAAAAAGGATAAATTACACAGACGCTGAAGTCAGAAAGGGAATGAACGATGTTCTCCTAACACCCAGTCATAAGCATCTCTGGTAAGCTGTTACAATCTCAGGGACATTTATGAAGGCATTTTAGACCTCATCCCTGTCCCTGCTGGAAAAAACGAGACACCCCTGAGGACCAGCCCTTCAAAAGCAAATGTTCTGAGTAAAGTTAACGAGGGTTTCCAGCGAGTTGCTTTCAGTTCGAACCCCTGCTGAGAATCTGCATTTCTAACAAGCTCCCAGGCAATGCTAATGCTGCTTGTTAGGGATCAGTTCTGAGAACCACTAGTAGAGAAGTGGTTCTCAAATTTATTATACATGAGAATCACCTGGCCCAACCCATTGCCACTGAGTCGATTCCAATCATAGCAACCCCATATGACAGAGTAGAACTGCCTCATAGGGTTTCCAAAGAGTGGCTGGTGGAATTTGAACTGCCGACCTTTTGGTTAGCAGCCGAGCTCTTAACCACTGAGCCACCAGGGCTCCGTACACTGCGTAGTAAACCTCAAATAAAATGCTGTGCCAGGTCAATGCCATGGTTTGTTTTTCTCCAGGTGACCACAATTAGTGAACAACACCATCACTGTTCCGCTTACCTTAGTTTATTTCCTCTTTCAAATTCTAACGAGCTGTAATACATTGAGATGTATGTTGTTGAAAAAGTTGTTTCACCCCAGTATTGAAATAATAAAACCATTTGAGTTTTATAAGATTAGATGCCTAAATATTTTACACTCTTAAAAGTGACATTTTAAGGGGTGTTTTATTTAAAATCACCGAACTTTTTACAGTTCCAAATTAAAACACTTACTCAATTTAAAAAACAGCTGTCTGACTCCCAGCCATTATGGGCAACCTACTAAAGCGCATGGAAATGTCCCAGTGTTGAAACAGACATCCATTAGACAGTTGTGCTGGTGTTGTGTGCCATGGGGCAGCTTCTGACTCACAGCAACCCTACAGGATTATAGTGTCGGCGAAGAATGTTGAATATACCGTGGACTTCCGAAAGAACGAACACATCTGTCTTGGAAGAAGTACAGCCAGAGTGCTCCTTAGAAGCAAGGATGGTGAGACTACATCTTACATACTTTGGACATGTTATCAGGAGGGATCGATCAGTCCCTGGAGAAGGACGTCATGCTTGGTAAAGTAGATGGTCAGCAAAAAAGAGGAAGACCCTCAAGGAGACGGACTGACACAATGGTTGCAACAACCAGTGCAAACACAGCAATGACTGTGAGCATGGCCAGGACAGGGCAGGGCTCCGTTCTGTTGTACACAGGGTCGGTGTGAGTGGGAATCGACTCAACAGCACCTAACAGCAACAACAAACCTGAAAGTAAGATTCCTAACTCAGAAGCTACAACATATATAAACTAACCAAACAAACTTGGAGCTATTTGTGTGTGCGCGTATACACGCGTATAATGTAAGTAAAATTTTCAAGAAGTGGCTTTCCATTTACAAACAAAAGTAAAAAAAGTACAAAAGTAGCTTTTAAAAGGCCACTCCTAACCATAACCCATTCTAAGTCACAGAAAAACCTCAGTGAAAACTGACAGTCATCTCCGTAAACCTGAGCTAAAAAACCCACTGCTGTCAAGTCGATTCCGACTCATGGTGACCCACGGGCGTCAGGGTACAACTGTTCTCCATAGGGTTGGTTTTCAATGGCTGTTTCTCAGAATGTCTTAGTCATCTAGTACTGCTACAGCAGAAATGCCACAAGTGGATGGCTTTAACAAACAAGAATTTATTCTCTCAAAGTTTAGGACGCTAGAAGTCCAAATTTAGGGCACCAGCTCCAGGGGAAGGCTCCAGAGGAAGGTCCAAGTCATCAGTCTTCCCCTGGTCTAGGAGCCTCTCAGTGCAGGGACCCCAGCTCCAAAGGATAAGGCTCTGCTCCTGGCACTACCTTCTTAGTGGAATGAGGTCTCCCTGTCTCTCTGCCCCCTTCTCTCTTTTATATCTTAAAAGATATTGGCTTTAAGACACAACCTAATCCTGAAGACTAAGTCTTGCTTCATTAACATAACTGCCTCTAATCCTGCCTCATTAACATCATACAAGTAGGATTTGCAACACAGAAGAAAATCACATCAGATAATAAAATGGTGAACAATCACACAATACTGGGAATCATGGCCTAGCTAAATTGACACGCATTTTTGGGGGACACAATTCAATCCATAAAATGGAAGGAGATCACCAGGCCTTTCTTCTGAGGCACCCCTGAGCGGACTCAATCCTCTAAACATTCAGTTAGCAGCTGAGTGTGTGGCCCATCTGCATCACCCAGGGACTAAATGTGCCAATATTTATCAGGCCCCTTGTTCTGACTTTGAGCTCCTCCTGCCCATTCCACGTCCAGTACGCAGTGACAGGCACTTTTAAACTCAAGGTCACTGCATCGAAGTAGAGAGACCACAGAAGCATACTGAAAAGGAAACACCCTAACGCATTTGCAAAAAATCCATAAGCTGCCTCTCACTCTATATTCTTCTAGAATAAAAACTTGTAAGGTTACTTAACGATGTTAATAATAATAAAAAGCACATCATTGTTCCCAAGAAAAAAGGGTCACCTTCCTGACCAGTGGTCCCTGACAGAACTAGCTATCCACAGGTCTTCTGCCACAATGAAGAAGGATAAAGTCAGATGTTTTAAGTGTTGTTATCATTGTTACAGAGCCCTGGTGGCACAGCGGCACAGTGGTTATGAGCTATGGCTGCTAACCAAAAGGTCAGCAGTTTGAATCCAGCAGCTGCTCCTTGGAAACCTTATGGGGCAGTTCTCCTCTGTGCTATAGGTTCACTATGAGTCAGAATTGACTCAACAGCAGCAGGCCATCATTGTTACTGAGGTCCCTGGGTGGTGCAAATCTTTAACACACTCAGCTGCTTACTGAAAGGTTGGAGGTGCCTCAAAAGAAAGTCCTGGCAATCTACTTCCGAAAAAATCAGCCCACTGAAAGCCCTATGAAGCACAGTTCTACTCCGACACAATGAGGTCACCATGACTTGGAACTGACTGGAAGGAAAATATGAATTTTTTTTTATTCACTGTGATAGTCA